CCCCCCCCCCCCTCCCTCCCTTGGGAATTTTTTTTTTAAACATATTATGCTCTCCTGTATATTGTAACTCTTTGAAAGTCAATGAAGTGTCTGTTAATGAAAGATTTAAAGATTTAAGTTAATGCGATTTCTATCACTTAAATAAGACCTACACATTCCGAACGACTTGGTACCCGTTTTCTGTCATTCAAGGTCCATTCAGTCCCACTGGAAGCTACATAGTATGAGATTATATAGCGTACTTACGTCCAGAACTGGAGTTCCTGCACCAGGCCAAACATTGGATTCTAAAGATGTCCAGTTACTTAAAAACTTTCTAACACTACCAGAGGTATGATTGACAAGTTGAAAGCCAGTGATATTTACCCCGCCATGTCTAAATCTCGACAGATTTAAACTTAACATATCCTGAAAAGATTTTTTATGTAATAATAGAATGATATCAAAACAGAAATCTTGACATTTTGAGCCGTTCTGTAGCTTAATCGGTTAGAGCTTTTGAAACTCTACACGATGACATTTGCTTGGTAACGACGAATAAATGGTGGTTGTTGGATCTAATTTCGGTCGGTGTTTGAAAGTTATCTTTCGCCATTATTCCAGTCAGCCAAGCTGTAAATTGGTACAGATAATCCAGAAAAGATCAACGCTAACATGTCTGGTCAAGAAACAACAGATAGAAGGACCTTCCACATTGGCCAACAACATTTGGTACAGTATGCAAGGAATTTTTTGCAGAGCTGTGATGCCAAACGGGAAAGTTTACGCGACTGCAGCACAGTTTTATTAAGTTATTATTTCACTGTTATTGTAAAAATAACTTACCAAGGTTCCCATTAAATAATTATAACCTTCTCTATTCATTCCTACTTCCGGTATCTGAAATATATTGCACAAAAAAATGAGTTAATGAAGTTATTAAGGGCTGCGCCTTATTGTATACAGGGGCGATTCATTTGTTAAATATGCAAAACCATGACTGATTCATATATTATTTTCCATGCCCTAAAAACGAAATAGGAAAAAGGTTAGTTATTTGCACCTAATGTTTGCTATTTTAGTCTGTCATTCTCAATGATTGACATACTGAGACTACATTTTTACGATCTTTTGTGCGGAACCAAAGCTGACTTTACAAAACCCCTGTATTAATGAAAACTTGAAGAAAAGATATTCCTTTTCAATCTATTTGGAACACATCCCCTCTTTAATTAAAAATCTTCTCTTCAACTTTCAGGAAGTATTGGAATCATGAACAGTTTTTAACCTTTGAGTTGTTGATTTTAAGAAGTGTCTGAGTAGCAATAATCCAGTGTCAATATTATTTTACATAAAATACGGTTAACGAATCTCAAACAAATATTTTTATAGAAACACTTAAGATCAACAAAGTTTTCTTTGGAATCAATAGATTTCTTGAATGAGAATAATCGAGCAAGTAGAGCGATACTTAATAAATATACCGTATATAACTTGATAAATTTGAGAATTATCATCAACAGGGTTAAATATATTGTAGCATATTTTTAAGAAGAATATTACATGTGTCCTTACGGCATACTTGTTATTACGACTTTCATGAAGCAATCAATATAATATTTCTTCATCATTACATGACACTATTTCATTACGATCATTCATCAATACATATCGATCCGTACATTAAATTTTCGTGTCATGAATTTTTCAGTACATTACTACATCATTACATAACACTAATTCAATGACGCATATCGATCCATACTTCATTATTATATTATTTAGTTAAATTTTCGCGTCATCAATCTTTCGTTACAGTAATTCATCATTACAAATCGGCATCTCATTACGTAACTTTTAAAATCCGAATAGACAGTATTATTTCATTACTTATCAACAATTTATTACATTGCCTCATCGACAAATACCGACATCTCATTATATATTATTTACATATTTATTCGACTACTTAATATATCAACACCATCATTGCATTCTTCATCATTACATTCTTCGGCATTTCTCCACAAAACTACATTAAATAAGTACATCAGCACTTACTTTTTCATTACATTAGACTATGATTACAAATCAGTTCCTAATCACAGTATAGCCTAAATCATTACATATCAACGAATTATTAAAGCTCAATTCCATGCATCATTACGTTACTTCATCATTACATATTTTACAGTAAACTAACAAAATTGTGAAGGTGCGAGCACATGATCTGTCTTGGTCGGCGATTTTTGTTACCGACTCGAATCTTGAGTAAAATCTCGCGTGTGCCCGTGCTTCTTCAACAAAATTATCTCGTCCCCGACAGGATTTATAATATCAAACAAGTTTGATGACTGTCTCCGATAGTTTTATCGTCTGCAAGACAGACTGTCTTCATCCAATCAGATCTATTTCCTTTCAAGTGCATGCTCCTCACGCGATTTTCGACATAGTGGAAAACGACCGACTGGAGATTTTTGTCTCCTTGTGTGCCCATGCCAGTCGGCGAAACTACTGACAAAACCTTAGTCGGCGACAAAAATCTCCAACCAAGCATTATTGATTTCTTCAAGCTATTTTTCTGTTATGCAAGTATTCTAAAATGAAATGGTGTTTTACGTCTTAATTGAGTAGGAGTAACGTCATAAAATTTGTAATGAGCGAAATTATGCACATAGGAAGGCTTCAGCGTACTCTAACGTACCAAATCAGTAGTCTTTTCAATGTTTACTAATAACATTACGGTATCAATTGAGAGCGTGAAAGAAAAGAAACTAGCTATGAACGTAGTTTATTTAGTTAAATGATCATGCTCAATCGCCTTCTCTAAATAATTTCATTATAATTTTTTCTTTTCAAGTAATCCTGCATATTACAGATAATATTTGCTTGACAAACCTCGTGAAATGAATGGGGGAAAAAGCTGTCATGTTCGCTCTGCATGTTTTACACAAATTGTTTTAAATGACAATTATTGCCATCTTGTGAGTAATCCGAATCACTCGGATGTGAATTTACATGGTTCTGATTTGCATTAGTGGGTCACCAGAGACATTTTCGAATGTTTTTAGTTATGTCCTTCATTTATCTGATTTGAAAATCAGTTTGGTTAGTCAGTTCGTGATTTGATCATATTAATCTATCAGATTGGTGTAAATTGCTGCAAAAATATTTCAAGATATTGACGATACATGTGTCCAAATGATTTTGCTTGAAAAGCATTTATACTGGTGTATCGTGTGGTACAATGTCAAGCTATTGCGAACTTAGTTTTATACCTTGACTGCAATAGTCTTGTATCATGGAAGTTTGTAAATGTAGTGATTTTATTGGATTCTACGTTAACGAATACAGCGCTCGATAGAAAGTCCATAAACATTAAGCCACAATGTTTACAGTCTGTTTGTCAAGGACTATGATTAGTTGTATTCCGTGATACAAGAAAGGAGACTATTGCAGTCAAAGTATGCGACGACGTTCGTAATAGCTTGACATTGTTAAAAACAAGCACAAACTAGAAACTAGAAATGTACCAAAAAAGCTTCGGGTGTACTGTTTATAGATTTTCCATTCATATTCTGGGTCACTGTTGATATGAAGCTTTCGGATTGCAGTGATCAATTAAAGCTTGCTTCAAGAAACCTCTGATGTTATAATTGCTGTTAAAGAAGATTTTATTTGAAGAAAAGGAATGTTTTGAAAAGAACTGTTCGTGAGGCGAATATAAAGTGGATTGAAGTGTCTTTAATTTATCTGAACTGATGGAATTTTTTTTTTCTCAAAAAATCAATTATTTTGGATTTATATCAACATCAAATGAAAGGTTAAGTCGGACATTAACAATTGTGCTCCGTGAGATAATAACAATGTATTTTGATGTTATCAAAACACTCTATAAAATTTGATCTTGACCACCTATTTATAAAGGAGGGTTCAAGACTCTTGCGAATCTTTGATCACCTGGATTGTCAACGACTGGTAGCAATTGGGGACATCTTGGGGATCAACCGCGACTACATCTTCACAATGTCAAGATACTAGTTCATCATTAGGCACATTTAAGTTTGAAGCGATTTGATTGGATTGTAAACTACTGAATACAACCAATTAGAGCCCTGTATATTGGCAATGTGAAGAAAAGTCTGCTGATAGTCCCCAGTTGAGTTGTGTTGAACACAATTGCAGGTGGTCGATATGAAGGATCACATAAGATGGTATGAATCGCCAGTCGGTTGGAGCACAGCCTATATCGATATGATCGCCTCGCTGTATAACATGATGCTTTAATCTTTATACCCACAAGGATAAAAACGGAACTAATCCTTTTGAAGATTAATAAGCTTTTTATACAACAAAACGAAGTTATAAATCACATAAATTAGAAGGGCTTAACTTCAGTGAGTTTAAAAATATTGCAAGATTTTTTACCTGTTTTAATATTTTTCTATAAGCATCTTGAGATGATAAATCTAAGATGACATTTTTAGTAGCGTCAGGTTCATAAAAACGATCTAATCTGCGTAGGTCTGAATGTGCCTTGTTAATATCTTCTATCCTTCTAAAACCAATCTCTATTTTTCCATTCACGCTGGATTCTTTTAATTTATTATATATGTACTGCACTCTCATTAATCCTGAAAAACAGAAGTATGGAACCTTTCACAAATTTTATTTTTGTACATAATAGAACTATGTGACTTTTTACAGATGTAACAGCACTTCGGTATTTGACAACACAATAGAAATATGAAAATTTTCACAAATTGTATACTTGTACTGTTGTACTTGACAACACGATAAAAATATGGAAATTGTTTACGGGTATTATTGTACTTGACAAACGTGATAAAAATATGGAAATTTTCACAAATTGTATACTTGTACTATTGTACTTGACAACACGAAAGAAATATGGAAATTTTCACAAATTGTATACTTGTACTATTGTACTTGACAACACGAAAGAAATATGGAAATTTTCACAAATTGTATACTTGTACTATTGTACTTGACAACACAAAAGAAATATGGAAATTTTCACAAATTGTATACTTGTACTATTGTACTTGACAACACGAAAGAAATATGGAAATTTTCACAAATTGTATACCAGTACTATTGTACTTGACAACACGAAAGAAATATGGAAATTTTCACAAATTGTATACTTGTACTATTGTACTTGACAACACGAAAGAAATATGGAAATTTTCACAAATTGTATACTTGTACTATTGTACTTGACAACACGAAAGAAATATGGAAATTTTCACAAATTGTATACTTGTACTATTGTACTTGACAACACGAAAGAAATATGGAAATTTTCACAAATTGTATACTTGTACTATTGTACTTGACAACACGAAAGAAATATGGAAATTTTCACAAATTGTATACTTGTACTATTGTACTTGACAACACGAAAGAAATATGGAAATTTTCACAAATTGTATACTTGTACTATTGTACTTGACAACACAAAAGAAATATGGAAATTTTCACAAATTGTATACTTGTACTATTGTACTTGACAACACGAAAGAAATATGGAAATTTTCACAAATTGTATACCAGTACTATTGTACTTGACAACGTGATAAAAATATGGAAATTTTCACAAATTGTATACCAGTACTATTGTACTTGACAACGTGATAAAAATATGGAAATTTTCACAAATTGTATACCATTGTATACAATTGTACTATTGTACTTGACAGCTCGATAGAAGTATAGCTATATTTTACAAATTTTATATTGTTGTACTGGAAATCTTGGAAATATTGTGGAAATGAAGAAAATTTTACAAATGTTATTCAACTGTACTTGAAAACCTGGAAATACGACAGAAATTTCGAAATTTTCACAAATGCAGCTGAAGACAAATAAAAAAAAACATGAAAATGTTCGCTTATTTGTACAGAAATGAAAATTCAAAAGAATTTCATGTAAATAAAATGAAATGAATGAAGTTTTACGTCCTACTATTCTGTATCATGTGGGCTAGTTAAGACGGGCAACGCCATGGTGGGTGCAATGAGGGAAGTTTTGCCAGGTTATCGGCATTAGCCTGCTTTTTTTTCGATTTCCAACTGTAGAGGGATCTTTAACGTACACGGGTTTATTGTCCCATCCGAACGACTAGACGCTTTTTCCATGTCGGCCCCTCTTACCTGCATCACTGACAGGGGGAAACCGGGTTGAAGGATTTCATGTAAATTCTGAAGAAATACTACGAAATTGTACTCTTTCTAGGTTGAAAACATATATATGTGTTTACTGGCCTGCAGTGAAATGAAACCTATATAATGCCGTACTAGTCAAAGATAAAAGTTTAAGCTTAAATTTCTATCTTACATTAATGGTTTCTCTAGTGACTACCCGGAGACCAAGCAGACAATTAAACTGAAATCGTCCTTGGACCTAGAAGACACAATGAATATATTGAGCATATGATTTCCAGCTGATCTTGAACAATTATATCGAGTAAGAACACTACAATTTGCTTTCTGGCATCCTGGACATATAGTCTTCTGAATTTGAATAAATAATTCCTCGTTAACGCTACCAAAACCTTTGACTGTAACAATATCATATTCAGTCCAATCTTCGACACCAGGTCGAATTTTAGTCCAACCCTCGCCTAGTGAAAGTTAATGGGGACGAAAAGGTTTTCGATTTTAATAAAATAATTACTATCGTAAAGAATTACGTCAAGCTTAAAACTAAAAGCCGTAGAAAAGCATTGTCAGGTATTCCCTTATCTGGCCTTATTGCAGCCATAATAATATCTTTCAATATCAACCTTCTACCTACCTTTCAGGAATATAACTCTGTATAGGCAGTACAAATATCTTTTTCTTTTTATACAAGTAATTTTTAATAAATCGATCAGAAATTGTTTGAGAAGAATAAAGAAAATTGCATGAAGTGGTGTTTCGAAGAGAAAGATTTTCAGGATTAAGACTAGCTACGCCAATGGAAAGAATGCGCCGACTTTTTCTTTGTATATGAATAATATTATTAATTGTATAGATGATCTGAGAAATCCTTTCATAACAACTACATCTACTCTAGCTGATAACAAGATATGTCTTGCGTAAAAAGGGATTAGGAACATGTTTTCAAACTAATCTTTATTTATAAGACAGCTTCTAGAAGATTTATTCTGATCCCTTCGTTTATTACAAGATTACATGCGATATCTGGGCTATCTCAACTTTAAGGAGCCAACCGGATTAATGAACATCTCAGAAATTAAAGTGGAATTTTACAAATTCCTCATAAAATAGATTAATATAAACATCTTTATATTAAATATATCAAAATGTGCTTTATTTATTTTGCAAAAAATGGACACCAGCTGAAAACAATTTAAAAGGGATATAATCATGTCATTATTCCCTTCATCGCAGGAGAGTAGAATAGCTAATGATATCACTTCTGAATAGTCTCGCTATCTAATATCTTTTAACTACGATATCTTAATCAAAGACAAGAAATAATCATAGTACAATGGTTCAATAATTACTATTTAGTCACTGGACAATTGTGATTTAACTTGTCATTGTAAATAGTAATTATTGTCCAGTCAGCTGACAGAACTTCGGTAAATTCCTGTAATTTGTAAGCCAGTTTCTACACAACATTCAATTTAACAAAGTACTTTTATTTTAGCTTGGTAACTGCTAAAATTATACTAATTATGTTTGTGATACCGTCAAAGTACATGTTCACCCAGAGTGGAATGAAGTTCATGCCCTACTCTCTAAACTAGCCCGCTCAGTGAGTTAGACGCTTGCTCGCTAACCTGAAGGTCCTGGCATAGGTCAAGATAATACCTACGGATTTTTCAACCTGGTTTCCCCTTGTCAGTGACACAGGTTGCCGTGGTGCAGGTAAAAGGGTTGACATGGAAAAAACGTCTAGTCGTTCGGATGGGACAATAAACTGAGGTCTCGTTTGCTGCTGTTCACGTTAGAGATACCTCGACAGTTGGAAATCGAAAATGAGTAACTCCATTTTCCTAAAGAATTTCCCTCATTGTACACTGCATGGCGTTATCGATCATAATTAGCACAATAAGGTACAGAAGAGAAGGACATAAAACTCCATTCATTAAAATTCATATCATATCCTGCACTGCAAACTAAAAGTACAACATAAAATAGTCAGCTTTTTTTTCGAGGCCGAAAACTTTTTTTTGCTCAAATTGATGAAAACTACACACCAAAACCAAGAGAGAGGGTTCCCTTATCTTATTTGAAAGTTTTAATTGAACAAATCATACAGTTAATTTGTTAACGCCTAAACTATTTAAAATGTTAACGTAAACTTTTCAAGTTCATTATGCCCCTGTATAGGTGCGGTCCTGCTTTTAATAGGTGATTCCAGAGAATAATGTACAAAAGATATACAATTAGTGCCAATAGGATTGGCTGAAACTTGTTAAAAGCACTTACCTTCGTCTGAATCATAAATATAATCCATTCTGGACCATTTCAATGTTTTGATAAGATCAGTTATAGCGTCTGTATAAGATGGTTTTATAAACACAATATAAGGTTTTTCTTTTTGATCCGCCGACCCACACAAACTGAATGTCACATAAGGCATATGAAAAGCATTACTAAAGGATTGTATAATGCTAAACGATTTGGTATCTGTTTTACCATATAAGGCGAAGGTTCCTCCTGCCATCTGGGAACACACTGGAAACAGAAAAAAAAAACAGTTCAAATTTGTAACGCACACATGTTCTATACTTCAACAGATCTTGTTCTTAGTATCACAAATTTTTTCTTCCCCATCCCTTGAGAAATCAGTATGAGTAGATCGTAGATCAATTGGATGCATGCAAATACCGATTGCTAATGTCGACAAGATCAGATTTTTCTTAAAATGTATGATAAAAGAACTGAAGGCAAATGATGGCAACTGCATTTGTCACGCGTTGTAGTGCCAAGTTTGTCTAAATCCCTAAAATGCTGCCAGTTTCTGCAGAAAATCAAGTTGCTATCAGATTCTGCTAGATAAAAGGTCGATCTGAACCAACCTTACTGGAGGGGTTATATAGGCATAAGCCTGTTCCCCAATCCCTTTCATGTATTAATAAAATATTGTTTATAAAAAAACCTTACTGCGACAGTTCTTATTGTTACTAGGAATACATTAAATTGTAAAATATCACATTAGCTTTTAATGACGTAAAAGTTAAATATTGTAAAATACAACTAAAACAGAAAAGTGTGTTGATTGAAACTTGAAGAAAACTTGAGTCGTTATGTATCTCTTTACATTAGATTTTTTTTAACCTTCGGGTAATTTTGAACTTTTAAGTCACTTTTGAGTTCAAGCAGAAAACTTTTGACCAATTTCAACTGTTGTAGTCAGGCTATAATCACTAACACGAAAAGGATTGCAGTATTCAATCAAGCTATATTCTCCGAAAAGAAAACTATTACAGGGAAAACCTAAGAGAAGATCACTAAAAAGTAAAGATTTATATGGGAAAGAGGGTAATGCAATCGATCAAGAATCCAGAAACGGGTAATAGAAAGAAAAAGGTTGAAAACTCCTGCTTTATAAAAAATGATTTTGACTATGCAAATAGTGCTCTGAATTTCCAACCTCATCCGTATAATTGTCGTCTCGTCTATAATATATATATTTCTGGTCAAGGATACTTCAATAGAACATGATGATTTATAGCTTGTCATTTCTAACATTGATAAATTTTCTTCAAAGGAATTGGTGCCATTGAATTCTGCAATGGATCTTTATAATTCAAAATGATGAATCGCTATAGAGATATTGGAAATGGTTCGGAAGTAAAATCGATGCTATACTTAATTAGATAATGGCAGTTGTAAAAATATTGGACCATAAGTTGAAATACTGTTTAACAATTGCTTGAATTGCAATGAAAATTGAATAATCCGAATAGGTCTTACTTAAGCTTCAGATGACGATCCATGTTAAATATTCCTACTTGAGAAACTTAAGACGGGTAATACCACGCAAAATGACTACTAAGGAAAATTTTACTGGGAGAGCAAATAAATAAACTGTTTTTCTCCCCAACTCGTAATTCTTCCCCCAGCATGCATCATTGGAAAAGAATTAAGAGGAAGTATGGGCGAGCTGCAAAAATATTATCCACTCGAAAGGCTGTGTGAATTTAGCTCACTTTGCAATAGTAGCATCAAAAAAAAATATTTGCTAATTCGGGCAGTAAGAAGTTACTTCCTGTAACTTAAACAGCGACAATTAAGTCGACAATATCATTTTACATAATACTGCAAAATTTACAAATCAAAACGTTTGGAAAATGAGCAATGAGTAATTCAAATTGATTGTCTATCATTATTTAAAATTGAAGAAGAAAGTGTCGGATTATGCCAATTCAATTCTTCAATATTACAAAACAAGTTAGACATACGGCTATTATTTTATAGCATGTAATTTAAACTGTGAAGACAATTTCGACTGGTGTAATGAAAGACTGTCAATAAACCGACCTAGTCTATTAAAACAGTGATATTAATGAGTCATATATCTTCTCTTAAATACCCTAAAATCATCCATGTATTAAATAACTTTAGATAAATCCTCAAATTGTTGGAATTTGTGTTGAGGATCAACCATACCGGCGCCACGAATCGTAGGCAAGAAGTCGAGTGGGGACTTGCAGAGGGGATGGGGGAAGGTAACACACATCTAAAAACTCGGTGATGAAAAATCATTGCGACCATTGTCACCCCCACAAGCAAAACAAAATGTAATGTAATCCTTTAAATATATGCCTTGCACCTGATGAATCTGATTTTCAGCTATTTTCTAACCTTACTGATATTTTTGAAGGTTTCGTGAACTATCAAATAATTGAAGAGTTATGAGTCAACCTGTATATACATGGACATTTATGATTGATTATACCTTTGAATTATATGCAATAAGAACATTATGATATGATTAAAAATACACGATAATTCATTACAAATACCAATTAATCAAATAGTTTGCTTAATTTGACACTAAAAAATAAGGAAAACAATCTTTAAAATGTTCCAAAAGAATGTATACACTTACTTTTAGATGCTACTTTAAAATTATTGGTAATATCCACTTCTTCATAAACTGTAGCAAAACTTAAAGCATCTTTAGATGCTGAATCATTATATACAGAGATAGCATATAAATATCCAGATCGTGCTGCAGAGTCGGCTCTATAGTCAAATAAGGCTCCTGGAAAAAGAAAAAAAAATCATATTGCTTCATAGATAGTGAGGTAAGGAGACTAGCAGGACCTGGAATCAACGCTTTTTAGCGGGTAATTACCATTATCATAGCCAAATTGTTAACGATCTTTCTGTCCGTGCTTTGATTGTCTGTATTCGCTAGCGTACAATCCAATCAAACCGCTGCATTTACAAACTTACATGAAACAAGATAGGTGGCTATTGTTGTTCGTTAGAACTTTTAATACTGGAACTCAAAATTCCATTAAATATACATCAAATCAAAAATTTCATTTTCTTTAACTATATAATTTCTTTATTCGGTGTGGTATCAAGAAAAGACGAATCGTCATTTTAACTTTCAAACACACATGGATTTGAAGGCTCAAATTTCGATGGTGAGATGTGAATACTATTAGTGATAAACTTAGCTAAAAAATTCAAGTTTTTTAGACTAAGTTACGTTTGGTCAAACGGATGCTGAGCGTGTCCCTTTACCACGTGCAGTTAGGAGACAAGACAAATTACAAGTAATTCAAACTATCTAAGAGTTTCATCACAATCGACTTTATTGAGTTCAATCAATTTAAGTGCGTCAAGGTAATGTCAACAAGTTTAGAAAACAACTTGTCGATTCATAAGAAATGGATGCTATTTTTCAATGCTGTTTTGTCTCTTAGTATTGTTTCTGTCGGGCTTGGACTTTATCAGGACCAAGTCAAAGGGATCTAACGCTATCGGTAGACAGGGGCTGTAAATCTAAAGATATAAATTTTCACATGATTAATTTCGATTCCAGGAGATTTGGAACTATAGAACAAAACTTTAAATTTTCAATTCATGTAAATTTTCAAAAACATTTCTACAATTGCCAGAAACTGGTGAGAACTGTGAGGTCTTTATCAATTTCATTGATTTGGACCTATGGAGGAAAAAACTGAAAATCAGTTCCAATGCATTCGAATTTTCAAAAAAAAAACTCTCTCCTTTGCCCTGAATCTTAAAATTCTTTTTCGGTACCTTTACTGAGTTCACCTTGGCCGAAACATCTGCCTCCCGTCTAGCCTCTGAAAGTTGTCGGCTGGTGTCAAAATATCTCTCGGAGGCAAATATAACGGAATAAGGATCACCTTGAAAAAAAACCCAGGCAGGTTTATTTCATCAGTTGAGATTTGACAGCCTGACACAAAATTTCTAGCTTTGATTACTTCATGCTTCTTATATTTGATTAATTAAAGCAACATTTCCCCAGAGACTTGACGAAACAGCTGTTTTTATGGAATGATAATCAATATTTAGTTGTAATAGACATCTACTGCTCTGTAGATATAATCAACATGCGACTTAATTTTGAACTTGTCTTTTTTCTGACAGCAGTAATACAAAAATCTTCAAAATTGAAATAGCAAAAACAACATGTGGTATGTTTCAACAAGAGAAAGCCTATTGCATCACTTCCATACTATGTTGTGTGGTCTCCAATTGGCATTAGTAAATTTAAAATACTGAAATGTGCATCGTTAAATGCAAGTATGTACATGTATTGTATTAGGCTGATGATGACTTCCGAATGAAAATGTAGACGTAAAAGACTCTTCAATATGTATGTTCACCAACGCCAGGGTACGTAAAAGATTTAACGACCACGCTCGCAGATAGAATTTTATTACACGAAAATTTGTTCAAAAAAAAAAACAAACACACATATTTATTTCTTGGGCTTATTTATTTAGAAATTAAGCAATGTTTAAAAATTAGACGAAATGTTTTCAGCAAACTCTCTTAAAAACAATTGAATTCTCCAGAGTTAACATTAAATGAAATGGAATGACAACGAGTGCTTTGCCGTGCTTTTGAGAATTCGAAGGCAGGCTACACTAACCAGCGTGAAATGAATGAATTTTTTACGTGGCATAGTTAGGACCATATACTCTTCTCATTACACGTAAATATGCAATCTCCGTTGTTTGTTTCGTCTGATCGCTTCGACACATTACCCACCGTGTGCGAAAAGACGAGGTACGGTGTCCGGTGCGGGATTATCCTCATAGTAGAAAATAGAAGAAACGAATCGTGACCGCACCGTGTACGGACCCGTACCTCATGTTTTCACTTATTCTTTTTTTGTTTGTATCGATTATTCCGCACCGTACATCAATGCCGCGAATAGACGGTGTACGGTGTCCGCGTAGCATATCCAGAGGAATAATGGGGGAGTGGGGGTGTTCATGGATCGCGGAAGTAGGAGGAGGAAAAGTATTTAAAAAAAGTTCAGGGGCAGAAACGTTTTATTATCACTAACTTGAATAAAAGAAACATTTGCTAAATTGATCTCAATATCAATGGCAAGCAGATCTTTTATTCATTCTTTTTCTCCATAAATGCTTATCTCAACCCATGTTCAGGAGCCACATTAACGACATTATTTTTTACTTCCGTGTTTTTCTGACACACAATAATCCTCATTAG